TGATTATTATGTGAACAAGCCCCCAAATTTATTAAAACCACACAAAATTGTTTACCATACCTTTATCTCACATAAATGATTTTTGTTAATTTATTTAACAGCCAAACTGGGCGTGGTGGCTCACACCTGTAACCCCAGCACTTTGGAGGCTGAGGCAGGTGGATTACCTGAGGTCAGGAGTTCGAGACCAGCCTGGCCAACATGGAGAAACCTCATCTCCACTAAAAATACAAAATTAGCTGGGCATGGTGGTGCATGCCTGTAACCCCAGCTACTCGGGAGGCTAAGCCAGAATTGCTTGAACCAGGGAGGTAGAGGTTGTGGTGAGCTGAGATCGCACCATTGCACTCCAGCCTAGGCAACAAGAGGGAAACTCCGTCTCAAAACAAACAAACAAACAAAAACAGCCTACATGTCTTTAAAAACACACACCTACAAACTTTTAAAATTACCACATATAATAGAGAAGAGGGCTTCCTCTGGTACAAATAAGAATGTAAACAAGAAGATAAAGTGATTCTTCCCATGGTCATTCATAAAATAAATTATAATACAGATTTGTTAACCAATCACATCTAACAAAATCTATTTGAAGAGTTAACCAATAACTTAATGGAAGCCTCTGAGCTTCATTAGAGTCTTAAGTATTAGGACATCACAGAGCCTAGAAAAATGATATACACACTCACATGCATATACACACAGACACAAGCACACTTCTGATGTCTCCACTGAGAAATCCATTAACTTGAAGAAGGCTTGAGAAAGGCATCTTAATAACCCATTTCAAATTTCCTTTTATTTATTTTAGAATAAGTTTCCATGAAAGTCTCAGGCTATGTACAACTAAGTTACTTCTAACTCAGAATGTATCTTGAGTTCTCTAGTGAAAAGTTACCCAATACAAAATTCAAATCCAGGAACTAACTAGTAAGATTTTTCTGGTAAATTCTAACTGCTGAAAGGCAGCAGAGGGAAAAAAAAATTGAATCATGTTTCCATATGAAAATAAAAAAGCCAAGTGTTGGAGAATCAGTTAATACAGGAATATAAAACTCACTGAGGAAAATAATGTAATGTACACAGGGTAACAATCTCAGCAAAGACAGGAAAAAGGCATTTCTCCAAAAAATAAAAGGTACTTTACCAGGGGACTATTATTCTAAATCAATGAAGTCCAACTGAAGGAGATTTGATTCTATTTTATATACTCTCCACTATTATGTGACACTGTTAGTAACCAAACACACTCAATTCCAAAGACAACCTGTTCAAGTTTAGTTGGCATGACCTAGAAAAACTTCCATCTTCACAGAAAACTAGGAAACCAAGTAAAACCATCATGTGTTAAAACAAATATATGCAAAAGTATAGTAAATATAAAAATGCATGGAAATGTTTAGGAAAACAAAATGAGGTAGTTTTTAAATATAAACAGTAATATTTGGTATGAAAAATCCATTATTTACCCATTTGGACTACCATAGGACTACAATGCCACATTAAGTATGGTCAAAAATTGACAAATCTAAAAACAATATTTAGGTCAACAGAGACAACTTCCTTCCAATTAAATAAGTTCAATCAGACCAACAAAAACACCCAAACTTTTTCTTTCCATAAAAATTCAACTTTGATATTAAGAACATTTTTCCACTGATATTTAGACCAATAGTCTAAATTATCTCTCCAATCTCAGCTTCTTTACTCACTTAGTTCACCCTTAGCATGAGATTGGTCTTTCCAAAAACATATTTCAGAGTAACCTCCCTTGCTCAAAAAACCTCAGGGCTACCGCTGACACTCCTAATGCTCAAATTCCTTAGCCTGGCTTAGTCAACCAAGGCTATTCACAATATGGCTCCCATCTTTCTGGCTTCCTCTCAGTACTCTCCCAGAGGAACCTTATTCAGTCAATTTGACCCACTGACTTCAGGATACCTTGTGCTTTCATAATTAACAAAGTATTTTCTTCCTGTTAAGATTAACACACTGCAGAAAGCAAAGCAAAAATTTCTAAACAAATGTAAAAGTTGGTAAGAATGAAATGTATGCAAATATTACCTTTTTGTTTTTTGGATTTTTTTTAGAGGCAGAGTCTTGCTCTCACAAAGACTGGAGTGCAGTGGCACGATCTCAGATCACTGCAACCTCTGCCTCCTGGGTTCAAGCAATTCTCCTGCTTCAGCCTCCCAAGTAGCTGGGATTACAGGCACGCACCACCACACCTGGCTAATTTTTATATTTTTAGTGGAGACAGAGTTTCACTATGTTGGCCAGGCTGGTCTCGAACCCCTGACCTCAGGTGATCCATGCACCTCAGCCTCTCCAAGTGCTGGGAGCCACTGCGCCTGGCCCTTACCTATAATTTTTGACAGAATAAGTTAATTCCTAGAGATTGCCTTATAAAAAAAACCGAGAACAAGAAACAGTTTGGTAAAGAAACAAACCCACAGGCCCAGCATGGTGGCTCATGTCGGTTATCCCAGCACTTTGGGAGACCGAGGCAGGCCAACATGGTGAAACCCTGTCTCTACTAAAAATGCAAAACTTAGCCGGGCGTGGTAGCGTACGTCCGTAATTCCAGCTACTCAGGGGGCTGAGGCAGGAGAATCACTTAAACCCGGCAGGCGGAGGTTGCAGTGAGCCGAGATCATGCCAATGCACTCCAGTCTGGGTGACAGAGCGAGACTCTGTCTCCAAAAAAATAAAAACGAAACAAACCTACATCTTCTCTCAAGCTTTTAATATAGTCATATAGCAATGCTTCCATTCAATTTTTGACTAAAAACTTTTGCAAAAGATGATAAGACAAAAGACTTAGAAACCCTGGACAGTGTCCAAATATTTAACTTACCTGATAACATTTTATGATTCACCATCAGGACCCAATCTATTGCTAAACTACATAAGCAGTTTAGGCTAATAAGTTGACACTTTTTCTAGGGAAAGTACATCCCTAATTCACCCCAGAAATTTTCAAAATCATTAAGTTGTTTTAAAGGAAAAATCACTATTTTCATAACCACAAACAATATATTAGCAAGTTTTGGCTGTTATCACATCTCTAAGCACTGAAGACATCCTCAACTTAAAATTTCAACTTCCCCCCAAAAACAAAGATAACTTAAACTAAACCACTGCATTATAATTAACTACAACACAATAAAGACAGCTCCTAAATCCTAAATCCTTTTGTTAAGACATTTACTTTTTGTGGGAACAATACCTGACATTTATGAAATTAAAAACAAACAAACAAACAAAAAACGCTTTCAGAAAAAAGTAAACAGCAACACCAAGACATGGTTTAAAATTTTCAAAGAAACGCTTATCAACTTGGAACCTATGGTAAATCAATTATTTACTGGAGACACAACCACACAAAAAAGGTGAGGCAGCATCTGAGATATCAGATCATCAATGCGTAATACTTAGAGCCCTTGAACTAAAGTCAGTCCACTCTTGAGCTACCACAGACATTAAAAGGGTTATCCCCAAGTATCTCATTAGCAGGTCTACAGCAAAGGTAGAAGAAAGGTAAGAACCAAAAAGAACACAGAAGAAAAAAGCACAGGGTGAAGGGAAAGGTTGGAGGTAAGAACAGAAAGAAGAGAGATAAATGTGTAAGACTAGAAAGAGGAAGAAGAAAAATGAATAATGAGAGAAGGTGTAAAGTAAAAAGGCAGCTACACTTGCCCGGGGGACATTAGCCCCAAAGGTAATATACTACTGAAACTAGAAACCTTCAAACAAGGAGTTGCCCAAGAAATCATTTTAGGAAAGTTTTAGGAAAACCACCCTTCTTAGAAAACCCCTGACTTTTGAATGAACTGAAACCAGAATCTAATCTATCTTTTTTCTGAATGTTCTCAAACTGTATTCCTTTAGTACACTTTATTACAGTCCTATAAATTATAAATTTGATTTTTAAGTTTTAGCCAGACTTTGATAAGCTCCAAACCTAAATAACACTTGACTGGTAATGCCCTCAAGTGAAGCATCAGTACTTCTAGTAATTCACAGTAACACCATAGGGGAGAAAACCCTTAAAAAAAAGAGGCTAAAACAAAAGATAAAACATCTTAAATGAAGTATGTCTTAATCTGGGTACCTATGAAAGTCATGCAAGATACAGCAGATGGGGTCTGAAACCACCATTTTGTTTTTAAAAGGTACAGGACTAAAAGAACCAGAGAGATGTGTGGGTCTGAAGCTATTCAAAATATAAAACTTATTTCAAGAGGAGGAACTTAGTAAAAATTCAAAGTCAAACAGAGTAAATAAAATGTCATTAAGGCACAAAATACAAAAATTCATTAAAATACTGCTTTTGCTTGGGCTCTCCAAAACAGAAAGGCATGTATCCCTGATTGGTCCAGCCATCCTCAGAAAGCTAGTACTCAGCATTGAGTACTAGTGAGAATTCTTTAGAGCTGTTTGAAGCTCTGAAACCAAAACTATAGACTCCCATAATCTTTCTAGATTTTCTGGCCTAGAATATATTTTTATATTTGTTCACCAGGAAAAGGCACTTCTCAAAACCAATCCACACCATGAAAGTTTTATCATCAAGTATCTAACTATGTGGTAAACACATCATTTAGCTAGAACAATTTCTGAATCAGAGCTGTCATTGACAGGCCTGGTGCTTTGGATGTAGCTTTCTGTATGTCTTCTCTAATCATTTATTTTCTTCTATTTTCCAACCACCTTATATTGCCACTGTCCTTCCATTCCCACCCTTTACCTTCCTCCTGTATATGTACAGACACACACAAAGAGTATCAGTACCACTACGTATGTATCTATGTGTATACATACACACATATACCTGTATATGTATACACACACACAAAGACACACATGGCAGGAACCCCAATATCAGAGTTTATTATAAACCAAAGATAAAGACATAAATAATATTGTAGAATGGAAATAAATCCATTAATTCTTATTTCTAAGATAAAACAGAACTGTCGTTGGACACTACAACTCACCCGATGGTTCTTCGGGCTCACTTTCATTTTCTTCCTCAGGTGGGGCTTGAGGGGGTGGTGGGGGAAGTTTCTTTTCCTTCTCTGCTTTGGCATTTCTCTCTTCTTCTGAATAATACTCATCTTCTGAGAGGTTGGCCAAGCTTTCATCCATCTCTCTGTACTCTACCTATATAGAGATCATACCAGGGAAAGCTAAATGCAGTGAACATTTAAAATCAGGGACTCTATTTGGAACCATCAATCAATGTGAATTGTTAACTTCACATTTTAAGGGAAGTAAGTATACAACAAGGAACAAGCCAGCTTATAATAGGTAGTTATTAAAAACAAAACCTTCATGAAACAATCTTGTGTCAGTTCAGGTTCAAACTAATCTGCAACTTTTACATCATAGCACTGACATTCAAATCATTGACTCTAAGGCTCTCAACAACTTCTCAAAAAAAATTTTTAATTGTGTGTATCATGCTCACATACCGGAATTTCTAACAAAAGATTAAAATAACCCTCAGACAAAAATATAGTTAACTAGAATATCAAGTCTGTCTAATGCCAAGCCTGTGCTTCTAACTACTATTCCAACGGAAAATAGCAAAACAATTCCAAAAACCAAATGGAGGGCATGGAGTAGAAAATAACAACAGTCAAACTGAAACTATGAAAAGGTGCATTTGCTTAAAATATTCACTTAGGAGAGGCCAGGTGCAGTGGCTCACGCCTGTAATCCCAGCACTTTGGGGGGCTGCGGCAGGCAGATCACCTAAGGTCAGGAGTTCGAGACCAACCTAGCCAACATGGTGAAACCCTTCTCTACTAAAAATATAAAAATTAGCTGGGTGTGATGGCAGGCACCTGTAATCCCAGCTACTTGGGAGGCTGAGGCAGGAGAATCGCTTGAACCCAGGAGGTGGAGGTTACAGTGAGCCGAGATCAAACCACTGCACTGCAGCCTGGGCGTGAGACTCTATCTCAAAAAACAAAATAAAATAAAATAAATTATGGAGTAAGTGACGTGGAAATGGAGGATACAGGTCTTACTACTAATTCACACTGGCTATAAAGGAAAGGGAAGTATGTCATTAGCAAAAAGAGGAAGCAGTCTTAGTGAATGTGTCACTGAGGGTAATAGAGCGTAAGACAGGAAAGATTATTATGGATTGGTTAGCCAAAATGTGTAATATGGTATTACAAATAGTTTTCAACATTGGAACATTCTCAAATCATCATTGTGACTTCCTAATAAACGAAACTACAGCTAATTATTATGGAATCAATTAAAAGACAATTATTATGGAATCAATTAAAAGATTATAATTATTATTAATTCCATGAAAAGATAATTTATTAGACGTGGAAAAAAAGCAAAGACAATGTAGTTTCCACACGTATCTAATGTTTTACATTTCCAAGATGACTAGTCCTGTGGATTACAGTGAATGTAATACATTTTAACTTGCTAAACATCTTTGATATAGCTTTGGATGGCCAGCTGTTTTTATACTATCTTTTTGCTCTTTTTTTAAAATGATAGGACCACAAGATTTGGGGGAGGGGGAATGGCTGCTGGAAGTACAAGAGTTTTACCAAAAATAGGGATTGGGTTAGAAAACGGAAACAAAAATTAAGAATAATGAACTGACTAGTTCTGACCCATGCTCTAAGAATCTTATTTAATATATGAATAATTGTATTCACCTACTCAAATACTGAACACTGAGCACATGGTACAATGGAGAAAACAATTATGACTGAGTGTGTCCCTGCCCCTAAAAAGCTGAAAATCTGGTTCCAAGTAAATGATCCTGATCAGATGACCATCTCATACAGGGTCTCTGCAATAAGACTCCAGAAATGTAGATGATATTATACTAAACTTTATCCTGACTGACTGAGATAAACTGTGGAAACAGGTCTCAGGACAATGGATGAAAAAGCAGCAAGGAGAAAAAAAAAGTTTCAAAGAGGAGAGAAGTCAGAATAGGCCATAAACTTTTATAGTATGCAGTTTTCTTTTCCTTTTACCCCTCAATAGTGCTTGACTCTTCCCTTCCCCAAAGATTCAGTCCTTTGATCCTCTGCCCATCAATCCTATTTACTCAATAATGACTTAACAAGTACCTAATATGGAACTGGACAATGTGCAAATTTTGAGACAAAAACAAAGACTAATACAAAGTCCTTTCTATTGTAGTTCAGTTTTTCCCAAAGGATGTTCCACTAGATACTATATCCTTTGAAGGAGTAAAGGATGCAATATCAAGTCTGGGAAACTGCAATCTTTACAGGTCCCCTCTAGGAGAGTCACAATTCACATTAAAGGAGAAGGCTGGGCGTGGTGGCTCACGCCTGTAATCCCAGCACTTGGGGAGGCGGGGGCGGGCAGATGCCAAGGCAGGAGGACTGCTTAAGCCCAGGAGGCTAAGGGGTGCAATCTGTGATCGCACCACTGTGCTCCAGCCTGAGTGACAGACACAGACCCTGTCTCAAAAAAATAAAAAATAAAGGTACTGCTAAGTTTTGCATCAAAAACCATCTTTTCAATATTGTTTAATCCAGTGTCTTGACAAAGAAATAATTAACAAGGAAAACACTTGGAAAAGGCTGGTCTAGAAAGGGTTCTTAGTCTTTAGGAACAAAAGAGATTAGAAAAATATGTACAGGTAGAAGCAATAATATCCGATGGTATTATTAAAAACAAAACTGTTTCACAGAACCCTAGGATTCTTCAAGATTTAGAATTTTAATTTTTAAATGTATTAAATAAATACACACTCATGTGTTAAAACAAATCTTAATCCTTTAGAGACCACCAACACATTAACTTGTGCTGCTCGGGTAACTCAATTTGGGGTAGACTTAAGAATGAAGTTTCTTCTGCCATCTCTGTTCAACTGAGAGCATCCTGAGATGACAAAGCAAGCTTAAAAAAAAAAAAAAAGAAAAAGCTGGGAGCAGTGGCTCAGGCCTGTAACCCCAGTACTTTGGAAGGAAGAAGGAGGAGGATCATTTGAGCCCACTTCTACACCAGCCTAGACAACACAGGGAAGTCCTGTGTTTACAAAAAACTAAAAAAACTTAGCCTGGTGTGGTGGCGTGCACCTGCAGTTCCAGCTACTAAGGAGGCTGAGGTGGATCACTTGAACCCAGGGGGTCAAGGCTACAGTGAGCTATGATCTAAACACGGCACTCCAGTCTGTGTGACAGAGTCAAGACCCTGTCTCAAAAAAAAAAAAAAAAAAAAAAAAAGAAAGCAAACAAAACCAACCTCCTTCCTTTTGCACAACTTGTCAAATCAGTACTAGACTGCCACAACACTTCATAAACAAAGCAAAATACAGAAACAAAATTGGATTCTTCCCTGGTTGTCTAGTTGCTGGGTGAAAAGAATGGATTCTGGCCGGGCGCGGTGGCTCAAGCCTGTAATCCCAGCACTTTGGGAGGCCGAGACGGGCGGATCACGAGGTCAGGAGATCGAGACCATCCTGGCTAACACGGTGAAACCCCGTCTCTACTAAAATACAAAAAAAATTAGCCGGGTGTGGTGGCGGGCGCCTGTAGTCCCAGCTACTTGGGAGGCTGAGGCAGGAGAATGGTGTGAACCCGGGAGGCGGAGCTTGCAGTGAGCTGAGATCCGGCCACTGCACTCCAACCTGGGTGACAGAGTGAGACTCCGTCTCAAAAAAAAAAAAAAAAAGAAAAAAAGAAAAAAAGAAAAGAATGGATTCTAAGGCTAAAACAAGACTATCATGCTTAATTTCCAATCTCAAATTTGGCTTCACCAGTAGCCTCATTTTCTCATAGACTGACAACTAAAATAAATGTTATAAATTTTAACTTCTTACTACTACTTAATAGTAGTGTGTTTTATTTTGGGATTTTTGCTTAAAATTTTATTTTGTAAAAAAGGCTTTCCTCATTTAATAAAGCTTTTTTTTTTTAAGATAATTTTTAAATTGCCCGGAGCCAAGAAGTGACCATTTAAGCAAAGTTTTAAAACCATCTGAAAGAATCATACAAACTTTAATAAAAACTATTCCCCTGAGAAAAGGAATGGGTACTTTGAACCTAAAGGATTGGGAATCTCTCATCCCTAAGTAAAAACCCCAAAGACTTCAGAGACTCTACAGCTACTTACAACCACGGACATAAAGATGTCCCAACAGGGAGACTATGAGTGAGTAGGGTAATTATTCTTACTTTCACACTGATGACTCTCGAATTTAAATCTTTAGTCTCTTCCTTCTCCTCCCTACCCTTATTACAATGATTCATTCACTCCTCAATCTCCTTAAAGCATCAGTCTTTATAAAGAAATCTTTCTTGGGCTGGGCATAGTGGCTCACACCTGTAATCCTAGCACTTTGGGAGGTCGAGGTGAGCAGATCACTCGATCTCAGGAATTCGAGACGAGCCTGGGCAACATAGCGAGACTCCATCTCTACAAAAATTAGCTGTGGGTGGTGGTGCACATCTATAGTTCCAGCCGGTTGTGGGGGCTGAGGCAGGAGGACCACTTGAACCTGGAAGGTCAAGGCTGCAGTGAGCCATGATTGGGCCACTGCACTCCAGCCTGGGTGACAAAGACAGACACTGTCTTAAAAAAAAAAAAAAAAACCCGCCGGGCGCGGTGGCTCAAGCCTGTAATCCCAGCACTTTGGGAGGCCGAGACAGGCGGATCACGAGGTCAGGAGATCGAGACCATCCTGGCTAACATGGTGAAACCCCGTCTCTACTAAAAAAAATACAAAAAATTAGCCGTGCGAGGTGGCGGTTGCCTGTAGTCCTAGCTACTCGGGAGGCTGAGGGAGGAGAATAGCGTAAACCCAGGAGGCGGAGCTTGCAGTGATCTGAGATCCGGCCACTGCACTCCAGCCTGGGCGGCAGAGCAAGACTCCGTCTCAAAAAAAAAAAACAAAAAAAAAAACCCACAAAGATCACAAAATTTTCTCCTTTCACACTGCGTTCCTATATCAAAACATCTCATGTACCCCATAAATATATATACCTACTACGTACCACAATAATTAAAAATTTAAAAGAAACCTTTCTCACTTTTATCTAGGGCACAATTGCCAGGTTAATTTTCCCATTATGTGATATTTTCTAATAGCTTAACAGATGAACATCAAATTTTTCAAACCAGCATATAAACTCTCTGGCCTTGAC